TCCTCGAGCGTTACGGTCGATCGATAAACAGGTCAAGGTCAATATAGCCCCTAGGGGCTGTTTTGCTTTTAATGATCTTGACGTCAGACGTCACGTCAAAACAAAAATGCCCCAACAACGTGACTTGACATCACAACCACGTGATGTTACGACGACGCTACGACGTCATCATCATCGACGACGCTACACGACGTCAAGACGCCATCGTAACGCCGCGTTCGAAACTTCGCGTCGAGCCCGACGTTGCGTGAGGGGCCGACGTTGACGTCAACGCTCCACGCAACGTCATACATCGTTATGACGTCACGTTAACGTCGTCCTGATGTCGTCGTCAACGTCAACGCCAAAGTCAACATGACGTCACTACGAAGCCTTGACGCCGTGTGACGTCGTCGCCTTTGCCAACATCAACAATGACGCGCCTTCACAATAAAGTCTTGACCTCGTGTAACGTCGACGTTGTTGACGATGACATCGAAGTGGTGAAGTTGTCGGGACGTTGTCGTGACGGCGAGTTGAGTCACGTCGACAAGAATGTCGAAGGCCGGATGCCAAGCGTCTTCATGACGTTGCGTTGATGACATTAGGACGACGTCGTCTTGACGTCGTCGTCGGGAACGTCGACGACGCCGACGTCCTATACAATCTTGTGCGCAACAAAAACGAGGGCAAAAGCAGAGAAGAGGGCACAACAAGGCGCAACGGGCAAAAGCAGAGAAGAGGACACAACAAGGCGCAACTTTCAACAGTTGCGCCAACTCGCCCAAACAACCACTCTTCTTGACGCCGACATCGTTCTCAACAGGATGTGACGTTCCAACGCCGTCTTGATGTCGTGTAACACCATTGTCAACGTTCACGACGACGTCGATGTCATGGAGTCGTCGTGATGTCGCCTGGCGTTGTTACGACAGGTTAGGTCGTGATGACGTTATGTTTTGACGTGATAAGCTGTATAAAGAATATAGCTCGGGGCTCCATTGTTTATATATGACCTTAACAGGTGTGCCGGTCGAGCGCAAACGCCTTTTTCACAGAAAACGGCGAATAATACACATTCTGTAAAAAGTGTCTTATATTAAAAGAGCTTATATTATAAGGCTTGTTTACTGATTGTTTATGCAAATACTAGTCCACAATGCAGACATCCTGTAGTCACACAGTGTTGCGAAACGTGAACATAGAGTTATGGCCTCCTTTTTTATTGAAGGAGCCAGCATGAACTAAGATTGTCTCATTTGTATTGAAGGAGACAATGCCAGCATGAACTAAGATTTTATCCAAATCAATAATAATCTCCCAAATAGCCTTCGAAGTTTATCCTAATAGCCTTTTAAGTTTAGCGAAATTAGCGGCGACTTGGTTCAAAGCCACTTCGTTCGTAGAGCCCTCTAATATTTCTTTTTTTTTTCTATTTCAGGAGCTTCAGGTATAGTGCTCCGGTGGACCCACTCAGTCGTTTCTAGTACACTCTCACTTAGTGGAACGGTCTACGGTGATTGCAGCGCTGCCATTTCTGCCGCAGCGACGACTCCAGGAACGATCAATACCGAAATGGGGAAGAAAGAACAGTCGCACCATACTCCCCTTCGTCAACTGCTTAATTCAGAAAGCGTACACTGTGGGGAAGAAAAAAAATAAGAAAACGCCGCTTGATCTGTTTGATCACCTGATGTGACCCGCAGAAGTAACTCTAATCTACACTTGCAATATTTGGAGAATGATCAATGCCTAATAGCCGCGTCCCACTAGAGCGACAGACAGCAACAAACGACAACGACACACGACAACGAGCGACAGACGACACCGACAGACAGCCTGTTTGTCGGAGTCCGCCGTCCCACCTGGCGGACACGACGCAGAACACGGGGGCAAGGAAACTTGTTTCCTAGTGGGACTGGAGTTGTCAACAAAACACTTCAAAATACACAGACAAACAGAGTCTGGCGACGCGGTTTTCGTGTTTTGCTCTTTGGGCATAAAACGCGCCGACAAACACAGTGAAAGTGGAGACGGTTACTTTATTTCTTGATTAAAGCTTCCGCTTGTCTTCATTTGCCGTTGGCGACTTTCCGTAAACAGTCATGACAATCGACCCCAAACTTTTTCCGAACTAGAAATATCCGAATCGTTCCGTTTTTGGGTCGTTCGAGGCATTCTAGGTGAGCGCCACGGAGTTTCACGCTGATCTTGAGGATGTTTATAACTTCACATTCGAATGATCGGGAGCGGGCGCTCTTTGATGGACAATACGGCATCCCGATTATCACAGAACGTGATGACAAATCTCTCGTCTGCCGGAATGGCTTGCCGCGGAACGTCGTGTCCTACTTCGTGGTGAGCGGTCTTACTTTGGTCAGTCCTCGCACATGGGTGTATCCATCCTGATGCAGGGCCGTAGACTTCGGCGTCTTGAAGCACCACCTCGCGCACCAAGTTTTCGTGAGCAAAACCAGCCACGGCCCACAGCGAATTCCCTTTCGCGAATCGCAACACGACCGCCCGGCGCCAGCCAGCAAGCCGCGCCCGCGACCACTACGTGCAATCGAGGGACCGGAACTGCGGGGCCGGGAACGAGGAGAGGCCGCCAAGGGCATCTTAGTAAACTTGAGGAAGAAAACGAAAAAGGACGGACAAACACAAGTTTACTATCCATACCAACCCGCTCGTTCTGTCCCTACAAGGGCATCTCGTTCCGGGAGGAAGGGTAGAAGGGTGGGGAAAGAGGGAGGAAGGCAACAGAAGGCATAAACGGGCGAGGAGGATAAGTTTGTCTCCGAGAGATGTTCCCCAGTGGGACTGCTTGCTGCGCTTCAAGTCCAACGACAGACAAGAACTCGTCCGTCGTCAATCGTTTGTCGGCGCTTGTCGGCGATTGTCGCGGGTGTCGGTCGTTGCAGTGGGACAGCATCGGCGACACGGAACTTTGTGGTGTCGTCGGACAAAAACCGGTGTTTGTCGCTCTAGTGGGACGAGGCTATAAAAGAGGTCGTTTTTTTTTTCTTAGAGCACCCACCGAAAGTACAAGTTAGACGCCACTGACCAGTAGGTGGCGCAAGCCGCCGCCTAATCAAAAGGGCTCAGCCGTGTCCATCCATCTATCGCCAATAGCAACCAAACAGTGGGGAGACGAGTTCCAAGCAAACGCTGAGGCAGTACTCGTGTGACTTTGTTCCGTCACATCAACATGGGGTGCGAAACAGAAAACGGTTAGGTACCAGCAAATGGGTACCAGCCATATAGTAGTGTCTATGGGACTCAATATACCCATCCGATGTACGGCACGGGGAGGGGTAGCCATAAATAGGAGTGATTCATATTTGTTTGGCATTTTACGATTTCAGAACGCAAAGAAAGCACGACGATAAGGGAACGGAGTACGTATCGGCTTTGCGATATGTTCGCTCTGTTCTGAACTCGAACGTGCGGTGCGTACGGCCCCACAGCTCCCCGCGGCACGCGCTGTATTGTGAGATTGACAAGAGTGTAGGATTTGATGGAGAGGTGTTAGAATAATTCAAACGCGTCGCGGCAAACGCAAGGCAAACGCGCCTATCTTTCTTTTTATTGTCTAATTTCTTTTTTTCGTTCCCTAAGAATTACTGACGTAAACGCTTACGGAACGTCGCGCTCAACTCCTATCTTTACCACCCTCTCAGAACTGATCACTACACTGACGTATTACTATCGACCAATAATAAACACGTAACTCCTAGACGAATTAGTTTGCCCACGCATCGATCTCCATCTCCTGACCCACTCGTCTATTTTTTTTTTTTTTTTTTTCAGTAATATAGGGTAGAGATACGTCTCACAATTACACAACGAAGAGGATAGCTCAACTTTTCGCTGCTTTTCGTGATCTCTTTCGGCACATTATTCTTGGCAGACCATAGAAAATAAAGCTTGTTGTCCACCACTGCTTTTAGCTTTAAATATTGGCTGCTACTCCTGTTTTGCTATCATGCTTTTCAGTCGACGGACAATGCGAAAAACCGAGGCGGCCCTAGCGGCTCACGTGCATTTTGGGAATCATTTCTCAACGAAGAGTTTAGTTTCGATTACATCCATCGGTCCGCGGCCATACGCAAGTGGACACCGCGGACCTGCACCACTCCTCGGAACGTACCTCTCCGAGTCTTCGCAGGTTGAGAAGAGAAGTAAACATACTTCTCTTCTCGCGGCTTTATCTGACGGTGATTCAAGGCGAAGGCACGTCATGCAAAATTCGGGAAAGAGGAAGATGAGGTGGGCAGCTAGTGGCCAAAGGAGTCAGAGCAATGTAGGTGAAAGAAGATGGCTTAAGAGCGATGGATGAAACACGACATCAAGACACTGTGAAAGCCCGATGCTAATCTTGGTGCCGGAACCCCTCGAAGTCTGTCGAAGTCGAAAATAACCGCTCACAAGGAGTCGGTGCATACAGCAGTGTACGCCGATCGACATTAGTTTCGCTGAAACGACTTGGCTTGGTTTCGCCTTGATTTATTTACTCTTTGATAAAGTCACGAGAAATATATATACTTATAGCATCACATGCACACGTAGTTCAACATGCGAAGACTCAGCGAAGGACGTGGTGTTCTCTTGCGGCTGGCTACGATCCAATGGAGGGAACCATAACTAAAATCTCCGTTGACAAATGTTTCCCAGGATGTACCTGAGCAGTTACGGGCGCCTTGGGTTTGCACATTGTCCCTCGCTCCTTTCCGTTCATTTGTTTTGGCTCTGGATATCATTGCTAGGGTTTCCACATAAAAGACCTCTTTTTGTGTGTGTGTGTGTGCAGAATTGACAAATCATTTCCTTTTCAATTATTCATCTCCAGAAAGAAACATGTTCAGCTGTGGTGTTTACCCCGACGAATATGCATTGTATAGACAGCAAGCCCTGTCTTAATAGGGTGCGCCATCCTTTCAATACAGCCTCCGACTTCAGGAAGTTACGTTTGTGCATTGGCTAAAATTTGCCATTGTGCAGAACATAGGCCACGCTGTTTCGGAGACGCAAATATGATTACAACTCGAATGTTTCCAATGTACTGTACATTTCTGGTCTTTATTCAAGCGTATACGTCTCGCATACGTGTTAAAACTGGAACCCCTTTCCCCCTTTCCCGGGGTTTGAGATTTTACCGCTAGGCATCAGATCGAACGCATAAAACGCACAACAGGACCCATTTCCATATGTGTGGTCCATAACACCTCGTCGTACGCACATTTGCCGAAATTGACGGTCCAATGTTCTGTCTCAGCAGGATCTTGTCATTGGCTGCCAATACGCAAGAGCATCTGACCCTGGAAGCGATGACGCCTAAACACACTTCCTGAGGAGGTCAGACTACAGCTAACACGAAGAACCCATTTCATGTAGCCTACGGATCACAAGCAGTGTCACAGAACAGTCTCTAGTACACTGTGTCTTGCAGATCTGTTAGTAGACCCGAGTCCTGGGGCAGCTCTTGAAGGCACCGCTTGTCCCATGCCGATGTTCTGAAGACTCCAGTAGAAATAGAGTTCGGACATCCATGCGGCAGTCTAGTAACGGCTCGGGTCTTTGTAGTCCTTGTAGTCATATGGCGGCGGTGGCATGGGCATTTGCTCAAACGACACCGGAGGTGCTGTAGGAGCGGAAGGTGGTGCAGTGGCCCCTAGATGTTCGGGCATTTGGGCATGCTGCTGAGGGTAGGACGAGATGTAGGACGGCGGGTATGACTGCTGAGGTTGATGTGGGCCGTACGGGGCTTGAGACCACGGCTGACTGCAGGGCCGAGGACATTGTGGGTTCAGGTAACCAGGGCCAACTGGTACTGAGGAACCGGAAGTGGCTGGCGTCAGACAGGAGGCTCCTACCAAAGGCTGCGCCCTCTGCGGAAGGGCGTGGGCGTATGTCAGCATGGCCCCCATTTCGATTTCGATGCGCAGGTTAGCTTGTTGAAAACTTTTTTAGCTTAAGGTGCTGGTATGTTCTTCCTAGGGTAAAGTCACCGTCTGTCGCACCGATTGCACGCGATCACAAAAAAGCTACTATAGTCCGAGACAAGTTAAGAATGCCCCAAGTAAACACCACCACGTACCGGCCATGTATCAAATCGCTCCGTGAATCAACCGGGGAATACCGCAGCCATGACGAGTTATTTGGTCCATTAACCACCACTGTAAATTTTCCCCCGTATTGTTGGTTTTTGAATAGAAGGTCCTGAAACTTGGCCATCTTTTCCAAACTATTAGCGTGCAGCATTCGGGTGGAGATTTAAATTTCGGAGAGGCGTGTAGTTTATGTTAGCGGTGCAAAAACATTTTCCTCTTTTTTCGCGCACATAAGAAACCTGGAGCGTATGCTTTCCCGCAAAAACTACCTGTGACAGCAACTTCATAGCTCTATACTCGACGGAGGGAGCTTGGCAGACGACGCATACTGAGAATCTGTTTAGTCTTATGAATGTTTCACGTCCTTGCATCATGCTCCAGCTTTGTCACATGCGCGCTGCTTGATTTTTTCAGGTTTAAAATTTTTTCAGCCCCGTCGTTAATAGTGTCGTCATAGACGACACTTCTACTTTTTCGGAGAAGAAAGTGGATAGTGACACACCTCGCTGCTCCTCATTGCACTCGGTGTCAAAAAAAAAAAAAAATCATAGCATGCTACACACTTTGTCGCTCTTTTTTGGCGAATGCTATATAAAGACTCAAGGCAAAGTTTTTACCTGTGCATTTCTTCTCTTTCTCGCGCAAATGTAGGCACAAAAGCAAGCAATCGCTGCCCCCAGACAGCCGAAGGCGATGGCAATGCCGATGCCCATTTTCCGGATAAATGAAGACTGCTCTCTCCTCTCCAAATCTGCCAATGAAAGGTGCGTTTATGATATGACTTAGTCCGATCCATTCGTTCATTACACTGAAAATGGTACGCGCCGACAAATAAAAAAAAAAAAAAAAACACTTTGACGGAGATTTACTGTCGTTTTAAAATGCCGGGAATCAAAATGTGTGATCTTATAATATTCCATATCACCCTGGCGAAATAAGATGGACGGCGATAACTCTTTACTTACATAACAGTAAATGCTGAAACTTTGGCATTTGGTCCGGACCTCTAGCACTACGTCTGCGCGGAAAATGAGCGTTCTGCAATGCATAAGTCATTTCTACAATTACAAAAAAAAAAAAAAAAAAGAATTTTTAAGGGGAAAAAAAGGGGGGGGGGGGAGGGGGGAGGGTACCCGCTATACTTCCTGTGGTCTGTGTAACCTTTTTCTTTTTACTATTTTTTTAGTGTTTGTATGTGTGTGTGTGGTGGGGGGGGGGGGGTGGCTATACATGTCATCCGACTTTGAGTATACACCGACACGCGGGCTTGACGTCACGGAGCTGCGGCGGCGCTGCGATCGCGCCGGAGCCGGGGGGTGGGGGCAAAAGCGCGCACGTTTCGCATGGGCGTCATAGCATTTCAGCATGCTGCGAAGCTGTGTTGCCGTTAATTGCACCGAAATGTACAAGAAAAGCAGCGGAGTGAGTTTCCACAAGTACCCGGCAGACTCTAAAAGGCATAGAAGGTAAATAATAATATCCGTGGATCGAAAAGAATGTTCGCCTCGCGCGAACGACCGTTTGTGCGGCAAACACTTTCTTGGAGGCAAGTGCGGCTTACATTTCAATCTCCGTCCCGAGGCTTGCTTATGTGCAGGGAAACCGTTGTCTGATCGAGACCACCCGGATTTTGTTCCCACGGTGTTCGCGCACAACGCACCGGCCAAGCGCTCGTTGGAGGCTCGCTACGCCCGTGCTACCCAGCAGAAGGGGATCGGCGACCGAACGGCAGTGTTGTAGGCGTTACCGAAAAAAGTATCGAAATACGTTACTCGTTACTTGCAAATAAAAGTTACGTGTTACGGAGCTACGTTATCTAAAAATAAAAGGAACGCGTTACCGCTACCGATAAAAAGTAAGGCACGTTACTTCTGCGTTACTTCTTTTTAAATTATGATTTACCACATTTTATGGTTTTGACGACACAGGTCATATATCAAGCAGAAACTGAGCATAACTACTTTATCTGTTTTTTACGGTTTCACCTAAATACTTACGAGAAAAAACGCAAAGAAAAACATGGCTTGACGCCTAAGAAACGGAAACAATTGAAGTGTAATTTCTTTAAGACTTGGGAAGTAGTAACGACCAACGTAACTACGTTACTTGAAATAGTAACATAAGTACGTTACCCGTTACTGTGTCAAAAACGTAACGGGTGGGTTACTACGTTACTGAAAAAAGTAACGCGTTCCTGGTAACGCCGTTACTTGTAACCTGTTACCGTCAAGACTGCAGAACGGACAAACCGTTACTGGTTGTAATGCCTTGTGGTCACGAGGGTATGAAAAATATCACACCTTGACTTGAAGACGCTCTGTGTATTTAATCAATTAATCAATACACACACTTCCGCAGACCCACAGTCTGCTGATCCCGCCGGCAGTGCGGAAACCGACTCGATGTAATCGTAGGCCTCGAGAGACTTGTAGGCCTGCACCGTGTCGGGCGTGAACTGACTTGGCGAAAACTAAATAAACGACGACCTGAGCCGTCGACTTCCGTGGCAGCAACTTTACGTCGGAAGTCCAGCACCTAGGCCTTGTTTACGACGCACGGTTCCTCGTAGGCAACGCTGTCCACGCTCAGTTTGTTTCGATACCGCTACCGTTCAGGCTCGGGCAACGAGCTCAAATAGTCGGGCATAGCATACGACATACGTTATGAGGAAATACGACGCACAAATAAAGATACAAGCGTCCCTACAACGTCAGCAACGAGCGCACGCCGTAGAGCGCAATGGCGAAAACAGGGAGAGCCGGGCTGCTTTTGCCCACATAGCTACCGCGCATGCGCGGCCTTCCGGCCGTGTTGGTAAACAGAGCCGCTCCGCGTGTCGGTCTATAGTTGGTACGCTATAGGTTAAACGGCACGTGACAAAGGAAATGAATTTCGAACCGGAAAATGTGTTCTGGGTAGAATTGGTCTCTTATAGGCCGTGTTAAAATAAAAACCTCGGCGAGATTGAATACCCTCTCAGTGTCCCTTTTAACCTCTCATATACACTTTGCCGCAATTCGCCAGGCCCGTTCGGCAAGTAATTTCCGTTTGGAAAAAAGAAACTTATAGAGAATTGTTGGCGAAAGTATTTATGTTCAAGGAATTTCGCGCATATACTGTAAACGACATAAATTTCGCGGGCTCAAGTTTTCGGGAATCGAACCAAAGCTGAAAATCTTAAATTATTCGCGGTTTCTAATTTTCGCGAATCGAGTGAAGCTTCATAGTGTTCACATATTGCCCGAATCGTTCACGGGACGTATTTTTGGTGAATTGTATGCGATTTGCGAAATTCGCGAAAATTAGGTCCTCGCGAGAATTTAGTCGTTTACGGTAGTCTATCAGGGTGTAATATGCCAAAAAACCACGCACGAAAACGTGTTCTGCACACTTGGCAGAACACAAAAATATCGTCTAACCCCCCCCCCCCCCCCCCCTCCCTCCCCCCTCGAGATTGGGGAGGAGGACAGACCGTTACGCCCCAAGCGGTTAACTTATCAACTACATGGATGGGGACAACAAATACAATGACGCAGCGCTCGGCCGACATAACCGAACGCGGCGTCAGCGTTCGGCTGGAGTTCGTGTTCTCCGGCGAAGGGGAGGAGGGGCTCTTTGGTTTCCACGACGGCCTGCATAAACAATGCAGCATGCACGATCCCAGCTTAGCACAAAAGCCGAAGTGGGTCAAGCTCGCATTCTCAGAAGATAGATCCGGCACTTAACGTCGCTTCGTCGATTGTTAGTATTTTTTACATTAAACTGTGCCCCGCGCTCTATTGTAGAAGATGACATGGCCATGCCCATAAGGCCTGTTGGCATGTGTACAGGCCTTGTGTTGAGTAAACACCGAGCGTGGGGAAAACAAACGAGTCAGAGCGCCCCCTATAGTTCGATCTCCTGCCCAATAGCAGCGTCATTAGTTATTCAGACACTGGAATTCTTTATCGCACAATAACAAAGAGGGTGCGCTTACACGAGAGTAGTCGTTGTGGGACTTTCCGTGTTTTTATTTTTTGCTCTTCTTTTTTTTTTTGGGGGGGGGGGGGGGGGGGGGAGGGGGCATTAAACACCATAATGAGCAACCAACCAGCCCAATCAGCCATCTATCTTTTGACGTAATCAGCTTTAGGATGCTCTCCTCACAGACGCACGCCGCCCGAGTCTTAAGGCAGCATTTTTAGCAACCATCGTGGACACAAACAGTTCGTGCTTAAAGAGTGTGTCTTAACAACCTTATGAAGAAAAAAAATGTTTTTCTAACTTCAGGGACATATATGCGTTCCGAGATAAGAAGTGTTAAAGCGTCAGTTCTCCAGAATGTCTAACTTCACTTCCTCCACCAAATCATTCCTTACTAGCGAAAGCTTATATACTGTCGGCGCAACACGTCCTGAACCAATACCGCCAACAAGGGAAGGCCCGTGTCTTTCTCCACGACACGTCATCACTAGAGTAGGTCCACGCAGCGTCGCCCATCTTGCATCAGTATCACCGAATCTCGCATGCAGCGCCTCGCAACGCGGGCGCAACGGTGGCACGCGGCGTCGCCAAGGCGGACGAGTCTACCGCCTTGCGGCGTCTCTCGTGGAACTCTACAGCGTGCTTGCCGCTTGGGGCAGGACGGTAGTCCACCAACGATGACGTCATCCCCAGGCCTTGCCGCCTATGTGCTATTGCACGCGCACACTGTCACCCTTTAGTGGAATAAAATAAAAATTACACGTTTATTTTATTTTTATTTATTTATTTATTTTTTCTATGGGAGACTTTATTGAGCGGTTGCATTGCGACGTGTCTTGCAGATGAAGATTCCGCTAAAGGCGGAAAACTTTTCGAACCCGCTTCTGTCCCCGATCCTTCGCCTGTTGCGTTTAGCCTTCATAATCCGCAACCTGTAGCATCGGCTGCAGTCTCGGCTGGATTGTCTACAGAGTATAGAAATTCGTTTTTTCGCGCCGCTAATGATGATGATGATAATAACTTTATGTAATATACCGCGTTTCCCCGAAAGTTAACTGACTGTTTCGAATCACATTCATTCCCTTTCACGCATTGTTCTAAATACAAGCGTAAGAAAAAGCCCAAACAAGGTAAGCTCCTCTCAACATAACAATAGTAATCCTTGCTGGCGCCAATAATTTGTGGCGCAAGAAAGTGGTAGACCTTTAAAAACTTGATTAGTTACAAATAACTTTGAACCACACGGAAGAGAAGAACAAAATAGGCATGGTAACAACTTCATAATTTGGAAAGAGGCTTAAAGTTATTGCATCAGCAGAAAAGTTATCTGTACGTTTCCGACATTTTTTTTTTTTTTTTGTCCGCCTTGGACTATTTACGGAACTAATATAAACCAGAAATTAATGCATCGTGGCACTGCATAACAAACTACGGCAAAACCTTTTTTCTTGACTTCGCTGGAGCGAGTCGGTTTGCGATGTCATCCCAGTCTCCAGTTTGCTCAGTTTCCTCACTTTCTGCACTCAACTGAGATAAAACATGTACGTAATTCTTTACAAGTAACGAAATTACTTGAAATCCTTGGCATTTATCAGTAATTTGGCAGCGGAAGGATTGCATATTTGATAAAGGTAATTGTAAAGTAATTTAATTCGATATTTACGAAACGGCTTTGTTGTAAATCGTTACGCAGTCAAGATGTCAGCGCACTAAAATGCAAAAAAGATTTTTCCAACGCGAGGCACCTTGATTCATTTTTTTGTTTGTTTGTTTGGAAATGACATTATAAAACTTTTTGTGTACGTACTTTCTTCCTCAAATGCTTCTCGAAGCGATACGCACACACAAAGAATCAGTCAATTACTTGGTATAATCCTCTCCCCGTCTTCGATCGCAAAAAAAGAAAAAAGAAAAGAAAAGAAGAGCAGATGAATTAAAGAAAATTTGGTATATATACATTACACCAGCTTGCCCACACTTTGACCATGTTCTTTTTTTTCTTTTTTTTTTTGAAACATTCGTTTAAATAATCATAGTTGTTACAACTGTACAACAAATGTTTCTAAAAAAAACATTTCTAAGTGCGGGCAAGCGAGCAAGCTGGTTTATATATCTAATTTTCTTTAACTCATCTGTTCTTTTTTTCTTCATGTTTTTTCTTTTTTTTTTTTTGCACTGGAAGACAGGAAGAGGATTATACCAAGTGATTCACTGATTCTGTCGTGTGTGTATCTTAAAAAAAATTCAGGCAGAAAGTACCCACACAAGTATTCTCACAATGTCATTTTCATGTCACAACAGGAGAGGACGCACCCTAAAATCCACTGAAAGCGATGTGACAATAAGTGAAGGTCTCACAGCCACCAGCATCCTCGTTCCTTGCTGCTCATGGGATATTATGATAGTCCTCCTATTCTGCTATTAAAAAACAGGATGTCTTTTTTTTTTCTCGTGCTGCATTTGGCCTATTTCCACCAAGTTTTAAAAGCTACTAACGTTCTTGTAGTTAAACCTCCCGCGCTATCTGAGTCTCATTCGTCCTTTTTGAGCGTCAACTTTTTTTTTTATTAATAATAATAATAATTTTTGCTGCCTTTTTTTTTTTTTTTTTTCAAGCAGCACACATCTTTTTTTAAGCGTAAATGTTTACTACTAAGAAAAATAAAACGGTAGCTGACGTAGACCAGAGGTTCTAGGCTTGAGGAGGGAGAGAAACGCGTGAGTGGAGACAAACAGAAATCTCCAAAAACAGCTAGGTGATAGGTGCGTGATAAAAAAAAAAATCCGCCTGGTCCTGGTATCCAACCAGGGACCTCTTGTAAAACGCTCCACCAACTGAGGTAACCAGGTGTTAGACGTCGGTAGAGCAAACGGGTTTTATCAGCTGCCACCAGTCTAACACCAACAAGGGTGAACGGCTTGCATTTTAAGGAGCCAAAAAATAAGCTACGCTCGAAAGTAATTACACTTTATCCACCTTTAAGCGTAAAATCATGGTTGGCAATAATCTTAAGCTTCGTGACACCATATCAGAAGCTCATGATGTCGTACATTGAAATTGTAAAGATCTCCAACAGTACCCGTTGTGCACTTAGTATCAAATGGCGGCTTCCTAGAGAGAACCGGAGAGTGAACTCTACGCCTAGCTTATTTGGTGTCTCTATAGATCACTCAGTTGCTTTGTGGAGCCCGAGGATGTTTCACCACGCTGGTAGTTACTAGTTTCAATAAACAGCAATATAACAGTCGTGTATACCGAGAACGTGAGAAAAGGAAATGACAGTCCAGTCTCTCTGGTAACTCTGCCGCGCTGCCTCCTTGATGCCCCCCAAAAAACACGCGATTTTGTTTTGGTGCGTAATTCTTCCATCCACAAGTATACTAGCTGCCCATTACAATGGCCGGTACAAGTTTTCATCTGCGATGTTTAGTTTCCCGTGGTTATGGGGATTTAGGGATACCCACCATGTTTGTGATCGGGTCCCGATATCCACTGGATGGAGTCACCCAAGTTTTGCTTCACGCGTCGCTCGACCTTCTCCACCCATGTATCTTCGGAAAGCGTGTCCTTGATAAGCAGTGTCAGGAACAGGAGTCCCATGCCCAGCCTTCTTTCATGCGACATTCTGAAATAGTTACGTGTAATTCACACTGTTGGATTTATCAAACACTTCTATATTACTACATCAAAATCATCCGTCAATAGATTATGTATTTATCTATTGATTTACTTAGTTTGTCAGCAGCTGATTTAGGCATTCAAGGTGCCCATAGAGTTATTCAAAATGCACATGGAACTGGTGAAATGCCATAACAATCGTGCATCGACGTCTGTAGCAATCAGGCTTTGCAACAACTCAGAAGTTCAAAACTTCGAGAGAACTTTCAGGTAGTTCGACACAACACGTCTCGCCCGGAAGTTCAGAAGATATTGTTAATGAAAGCAACGTCTGGTCCTGCTGGCGTCTTATTAACGCTAGCAGGACCACGCGTTCTCTCATTGTTGAACAACGGCAAGGACACAATGACGCGCCAGATGCCTGCCGAAATTGTATCCGACATCGGAACGAAATTAATTTTTTGACGTCCCGAGTACCTTTAAAGCGTGTCGCGGGACGGTAAAATCCCGATTGGTCGATAGGGTCATGACGTCGTAGTACATGACCTAGCGCGGTAATTTCAAACAACCCACAGCGCTCACATGAAATGTGACGTCACGCGTGAAATGAAACTGAATAAAGCACTACGAAATAAAGGTAAGAAACAATCCGAATTAAAGGTCGCAGCAAGTCTTAAATGGTTTTCTTTATGAAGTAACTCCTTTGCCTTCAAGAGCAATTGGAAGAATTTTAGGCGGAGGCGGCATTCGAACCCACGACCCTTCGGATGCGAGCCAGACACCCGACCCACTAAGCCACGCAGACGCGCTTTTTTTTTATTAATTTAAAAAAAAGCCATTTATTATGTAAACAGTCGAATCTACACCATCAGGGCCAGGCGTTTTCTTTACTAGTAGTTCATCTATTGCAGCACGTATTTCACTCCTCTCAATTGGCCGTTCAAGCCAAACAGTCGTTTTTTGTTCTTTTTTCTAATCTTGACATCAGTTTTAAAAAGGCGTTTTTAAATGCGAAACTGAGGGCTTCGTCTTGCTGAAATAGCTGACTTTAAAACTCAACGAATGCCTGCACTATTACTTCTTCGTTGGAACTTATTGAGCCATAATACTGCATTTCGTAGATTTTTTTTTTTTTTACTTGCGTGTTGCGTTTTTTTGCTAAGTGCTCTTATTGTAAGTTGTTCACCAAGAAAATTACCAATTAAGTAGCTGCCGTCTCGAGTAGAGCATAAAATACTGCTTCCTTCTATTTAATAAAAGTCATCAATAAGCAAGGGTGATGCTAATATACAAATTAATTGACCGGCATCTTAACAAGCATATACATCAATAGCCCCACTATGCCAATTTATACTATATAAAAAAAAAAAGTTTACTTGGGTACGCTCTATTTTAGGCTAGATTAGATCTGAGTACGAAGATGCGTATAGATTAGAGTCAACGATGTAGAGGGGCTTACAGCGATAAGCTGGTATCCCGCTCACCAGACCAAAGTGACCTCCACTTGGCTGCCGCCATGTTGTACACTTTTGACCACTAGACACGTGATCGTACCAAATTTTGAGGCTTCTACGCCAAAATGGGCCGAGATTTGCATTACGATCGCCCTAAAAAAAAACATGATAAACTATTTTTTCAGAACTTCTAGCCCCAGAGATCAGTGTCTAGCTCCAATAAAAACCCGAAATACAGCACCGCGGCTGACGGCACCTAGCGGAGGCAATGCGAAGCTGCCCGAGTTTTTGTCGTAAAAGAACATTTCGAACTTTGAACAAACGAAACATAACATATCTCGTTGGTACTGTCATTAAAGCTCAAAAGGCAAATATTTGTCAGCGGTAATTTGTTGAAATCTAGACGTAAAACTACAAGGCCAATTGGGGGTCACTTTCAGCTGCCAGTTTATCACTCTAAGGCCGTCTACCTCGTTGATTAGAGTAAACAATTTTGATCACTCCTTTCTGCTTAATTATTTGCCTAGATCACGGTGCTGAATCTAAACAATGATGGTTAGAAAAACAAGCGCTGTGATTGCCGCTTTGTGTTTCTATAAAATGTAGACTGAAAGGGCTTGTGTTACAACTCTCGTGACATTTTAAAACTATTTTTGCTTTTAGCTCAGTTGCGTTGTCGTCATATACTTTGTGAAACGTATTTTGTAAAATATATTTCAGGATGTACATTGCGACGAGGTGACAATTTCACAATTTTATGCACTGTGATTAATTCCTTAGTTGAAGATCACAGCTACAATTCAACATTTAATACTGCAATGCAAAGTTGTACTAATCCCGGGTATTTATGCGACCAACCATAATTCGTGGCAACTTTTCAATTCAGGTAAAATATATGTGAGTGAGGTAAACAAACGGATCTTGGCTTGTATAAACACGATGTTTTGTAAGTTAATCTTGATTTTATTTTAATGTCGCGTCGAAATTAAACAAGGGAATTTCTTATTTTTGGTACCTCTAAATAAAAGTGGATTGTATGAACGATAAAAGCTATATACCTAGTTACTTGTCTCACTGCGGAAATAGTTTCTAGAGCCAAAACAACGCGGAAAATATATTTTTCATTTAGCGGTTTGAACCGGTTCGGAGCGGTGCGATCCGGTTTAAACCGTTATTTTTGTTCCCCGGATTGAACCGGAACCCCATGACAAAATGCTGTATAAGGGGGAAGGGGAAGAGAAGGGCCTAGGAAATTGGAAGATTTCGGGGGGGAGGGAGCGGGCTCCATGGGCCTCCCTCCCTGCCTACGTGCCTGGTACATATAAATGTAACGCGGAAAAAGACGATGTCACAGAATTCAATAACTATTTTTGTCCTTCAATGGTTATGGTGTTGTCCGTTCCCGTCTTTGTGAGTGGGTTGCGCAAGCGCCGAGGACAGGAGCGCGTGCTTAGGATTTTTGTTTTCGTGCGAGATCGGAGGAAGAGAAAAAAAAAAAGACAGGATCCCGCGCGCGTGAGGGCTGTGGAACACACCGCGGAGCAAGGTTGCGACGGTGTGGATGGTCGGCGCTGAGCAGATCCGCGTCGGTATGGTTGTTCGAACACCGAGAAGGCATTCGACGGAGAGCGGTGTGAGTGCTTGTGAGTGAGTGTTGTGCGTCACTACAACACCCAAGCCACCATGGCTTCTCGACCCCGACTGGCGGCGCAACGAACCGGACCTCCACCTGCACCTTGGAACGCTGACTCGGCTCTCCCCCTCCAAAACTGTTTGACAACCTCGATTTGACCTTTGGTATTTTTTTTTTCTTTCCTTCTTTCGACTGTGTGTACGTCCTGTGCGCCTTTCCCTTACTTTTGAATTATTTCATATAAAATGTTGTTCGAAACGTCGGCATGCTTTGCTCTCAATTCCTCGCGCCTCTCAGGATGTCTATCGCCAGGGTGTGGTCCTAACACCTGGACAGCGGTACAAGTCAAATTCCGAATTTGTTTGTTTAAATGGGATCTTTAACATCCGAACCTGTGACAGACGACTACTTCTTATGACTACAGTGTGCGCGATCATCCTCTCACAAGTTACCTCATATAACTACCTTGGAGTCGTTATCACAAACAACCTACGATGGAACTCCCACATCACGCATCTCGCACGTTTTACATTAAATAAACTTTTGTACTTACGAAGGAACCTGAAATCGGCATCATCCGCCGTTAAATTAGCAGCGTTTAAAGCATTTGTTAGATTAGTTTTAGAATACCCTGATACATTATGCGGCTACATATCATCTAACGTTAATTTAATTGAAAAAGTCAAAAGAAAACGTTTACGCTTTATTTACATTAAGTACACTCGTAATGACTCCGTAACACAACACTTTGCTATCGCTGGCCTTTAACCCTTGGAACGTAAAACCAACTTACTATTTTTTTTCTTCTGTCTTTTATGACATGACCGCTTTAATCTGGACAAGAATGACTACATTTGCCGCAGCCCTCCTCCACGTTATCCCTCTATATAGTACAAAGAGGCTTATGGTCCTTCCTGAACGTATACTTGTAAAAAATACGTTTCTTTTTTTTTTTTTTTAGGACATTACACGATTGGAATTTTATGCCTAATGATGTCGTTGTACAAACCGAATATGCTTCATTTGTACGTGAGAAGTTATTCGTCATTTTTCTTAAATTTTCGCCTCGTGTTTGGAGGACTATGTTCTGTTAACCTGGAGTTATGTATAATGATGTTACGTTTCGTTTTTTATGTATACTGAACCTGCTGAAATTTCGAATATTGTAACATATATATAGTGCTTACGCTGTTCATTTTTTTTTTCTTTTTCTTTTATGCATTGGCAGTGATGATTGTTTGCTGCCCACCCCTACGGCATCTCCAACTGGAGATGTAGCGTCAATAAATTAAATATAAGTAAAATTTTCATTGATTACGTTTTTGAGCAACGTATACAAGAATGTTTTTGTATGATGTATGAGAAGTTTGACTGCGGCCTTAAGGTCAGTATATATAGGCCATATCCCCCTTCCCTTTTTTGTATGATAACATCGGCAGTATAAAGCGGCCTTGACATGCGACATGTGACTACACCATCTACATAAAAAGACGTATACTGCAAAATGTTCGTCACCTATCGAAGGTCAGCACGGGGCACAACTTGGGCACGTGCGCCGTGTCAGCGTTCACGTGGAACTTCTTGTTCTCACTGACTGAAAGCGATTTCCTACCGAACGCTCACATAGCTCTCCCGCCCAATCTTTGACCCGCGTTGGCCCGAAGTAGGTGAGGAATGAAATTATGTTGTATGTAAACACTGGTACTTACGCGCCTTGGTACTTCAAATCATGTGCTGATCGACGTAATGTGCGACGCTAGACATCCAAAGGGGCGCCGCGGTATGTGTGTGTCGCTTTCTGCGACGCTATAGAGGCAGAAACTGTCAGGTTATCTCGCTTATCTCAGGTGTATTTCGGGTCGGCGTGGAAATCGAGGAGTAGGCAGTTTTCGTGGCATAAACGGCTACCCTCTCTTTCTATTTCTGATAACGCTGATACGGCTGCAACGGCATTTCCCGGATGTCGAGCTTGGAATGACGTCACGAACGCGAGGAATCTTGTTTGATGGAACGGCGAGCGAATGGAGGGGGCCGTTATGATTTCTTGATATCGGAAGCGTAACGCTTATTTATCAGTGACAAATGAAAATGGTGAGCAGCCGAAAAAGAGAGATAAATGAAAGAAAGGATTACAATATTGTAATTATCGGGAATTGAACTTACTAATTGTTGGGGCGCAAGTGACGCTGCACACGCTGTGACTGCACTGCGGCTCCTGCGGCTGACGAGGCATTTTTGTTTTCTCTATTTACTTTCCACGGCCGATTTATCAAGATCATCCGAGCCGATAGAAGCAATCGGCAGCGTCGAATAAACGGGAGGGAGAAATCGGTATCTCGGGGAGTGACATGAGTTCAGTGCTCGTGGCTACCGGTTCGCGCGGTTTCCTGGGGACGCGAAATTCTTTGTTTCTAGTCCAGTGGGCGGGGGTGTATTCGGAAAGTGGATCAGAAGGTCGTAGGCTTTCGGCCACGGTGGCGGCACCGCCCCTTACGGGGACAGCAGTCTGTACAGCGGGTTCCAGCCTCCCAAACGATGTCCCACGCCAGCCAACTTCCGGACAGAGGAGCGACCCCCTTGCCAGCAAAGCGACACCTGAGTGAGAGCAGCTCCGGCGAGTTTGCACACACAACATCAATTCAACCAGGCGACGAAGGGGCCATTGGCGGCAGCGTTCTCGGAAGCAAGGACGGCGACTTGACAACGGTCAGCAGAAAGAAAAAGAGAACCCGACACGGAAGGATGTCAACGGAGCCAAGGTATCTCGTGAAACTTCCTAATACGGCACGCACCGTTCTGTTCGCGCCAACCGTCCCCGCTACAAACCTGAGGAAAATCAACCGCCAGCTGCTATCGGATGAACTGGAAGCACTGGCTCCCGGCCAGTTTAGCGAGGTACGAGTAAATACACGGAAAAACATAATAATGCGAGGACGGAGGCGGGGGTGCTAGTAGTGATGCAAAACTATCGATAGTACTATCGATAGTAACGATAGTCACCAGAAATCTGACTATCGATAGTAAAACAAACTATCGATACTACTATCGATAGTCGATTATCAAAAAACTATTGATAGTACTATCGATAGTCGACTATCGGAGAACTATCGAAAAACTATCGATAGCGCTATCAATAATCGACTATCGATAGTTCTGCGACACTATCGATAGTTTTGGAAAAACTATCGATAGTATCAATAGTCAATTTATCGATAGTTTTGCATCACTAGGTGCTAGTGCTCCTCATTTTGACCAAGATATGCGGGGTGCCTGTCCGACCTTTTCTACCTCGCTCGAAAAACTCGCGAGTAGGGGTAATTTCGGACGTCGACACCGATATCACCGAAGACAGAGTGAGTAAGATAATCGGCAGCGGAGTGAGCGCCGTGCAAGTTAGGCGGCTAGGCAAAACGCGAGCAGTCAAGGTTGTATTTGAGGCTGACACGCTTCCTGCCCACGTCAAGATTGGATTAGTAAGGCACAGCGTTAAGCCTTTCGTCCAGCGTTCTCTACAGTGCCGACAGTGCTTTCGCATCGGACGCGTAATGTCCTAACAGCGCCATTTGTCCCAAATGCCTGCAGGTTCATGGTGATCAAAACTGCACTTCAGCACAGACGCGCGTAAACTGCCAGCAAGCGCACGAGGCAACCTCGTCGGAGTGCCCAAAGCTCCAAAAGGAGAAGGAGACCTGCAAGGTCAAAGTACGAGAGAACATCACGTTCCTGTAAGCGGCCAAGGTAGTCGAGGAACAGCGAAAAATCAAAAGGCGCAACAAGCAACATGTGGAAAGACCCGGAACGGGCACCTCGCAGCCTAAAAGCCAGACCGCTGCGCAAGAAGTGGACCCTGGGGCACAAGGCAGTTCTCGTCCGGCAGGGGCAGCAAAGGCCGATAACCCACACAACGGCGTCAGGGACAACCACGCGAGGGGTCTCACCTATCGCGATGTCACTCAGGGCACCCCCCCCCCCCCCCCCCTCCCCAAATCCGGCGGCG